CACTAGTGAATGCCACCCGCGCCATAAATCCGGCACCACCACCGCAGCCTACAGAGCCGATTTATAGCACCGTAGTGAACGGGACACCGGCCACAAATCCGCCGCAGCCTACAGAACCGATTTATAGTACTGTTGTGAACGCCACCCCCGCCACAAATCCGCCGCCACCACCGCAGCCTACAGAGCCGATTTATAGTACTGCTGTGAATGCCACCCCCGCCACAAATCCGCCGCCACCACCGCAGCCTGAAGGGCCGATTTATAGTATTGCTGTGAATGCCACCCCCGCCACAAATCCGCCGCCACCTCAGCCCACCAAGCCTGAACTGAACCCGGCACCAACCTTGTTCAAGCATTTTAGCCACCCGCATGTGCTTAACGGGATGGAAATCGAAACGGAGAACGCCAAAGTTTGCTCCGCTTGCGAGATTGAATTGACCGGCGCCGCCTACTGCTGCACCGAGTCCCAGTGCAGTTTCAACCTTCACAAAACGTGCTTCGACGCCCCCCGCGAGTTCCCCCACAAGTCCCACCTCGAGCACCCGCTCACCTTGGTGACAGAGCCGCCGTACAGCGAGGGGTTCACGTGCAACGCGTGCATGGAGGAGGGCAAGGCATTCGCCTACACGTGCGCCACTTGCTCGTACGATCTGCACATAAACTGCGTTCAATGGCCGGAGAAGGTTACCTTTTCGGACCACAAGCACCCTTTGACCCTGTACTACTCATCGTCGTCGGCGGTGGGTTCGGCGAATCAGGAGGTGACTTGCACGTGCGATGTTTGTATGAACCCGGTGGACGATTCGGCGTGGGTGTACTTTTGTCGTGAGTGCAATTTTGTGAGCCATCTGGACTGTGTGACTTCGACATTGAAGCAACACGGCAGCAGCGGCGACGATGGTGCGAAAAGTCAAGAGGTACGGATCACGGAAGCTGATGAGATCAACATTGCTGTTCTTTAAGCTTTGCTCAATGCATAAGGCAGCCATTGTTGAATGATCACATCAACCAAAAGTTTAAGGTGTCTGCACTTGAACTATTTGAAATGAGTGATTGTGGAATTCGAACTCAGGACCTTTTCATTTGACCTGACTCTGATACCATATTGAATGACATTCTCAACCAAAAACTTAAGTTGTTAGTAAAATGTATCATTAATATTAAAATCTCCAATGGCCGCATTGGGACTTGATTGAATTCGAGTCCCGCAACCACCAATTGTAAATATAGCAAGTGCAAGGCTTCAAATGTAATTCGTCTGCATTTGAGAGCGCGTATTGAAGATAAAAATATTAAACGATATATTTCATTAATACCTTAAGCTTTTGGGTGAGGTGATCATTTGAACAAAATTGACAACACAACAAATTGAGGGAGTCTCGTACTACCAGGCCGGTTCCAACGTCAAGACGAATGTAGCTATAATTTGTGTTTTTATATAATTTACCCCCTGAAATATATAATTTGTGTTTTTTATATCCAGTTTGCATATATATATATATATATATATATATATATATATATATATATATATATATATATATATATATAATAAAAATAAGTCACAAATTTATATTTTATACTCATTTGAGACAAATTTCACAAATTACAAATTTTAAAGACTGATATTTTATATTTTATCTCTACTCCTGTGTTTTGACACAATTCGAATTTCAATCAACCAACTCCTACTTTAATTTGGGGATTACCCTAACAAGCCGCCGGGCGCTCTCCACATTTCCTAAATCTATTTTAGATCCGGATATCCCCACATCAAGATCAAGTAATCCGAT